TGACGACATAATTTAAAGGTAATTCAGTGGCGTTTTCCAGTCATGACATTAAACATAAACTGTGACTTTACTGTTGCACCTCTAATGTGCTTTGTAAAAGGTTAAATGCTTTAAATAAATAAGACTGTTTTGTAAAACATCTAAAAAACTAATAGGTCAATTAAAAAAAAAGATGTCAAGTGGTATGACATAGGACGTGAATCAAAGACTTAATTATCAATACGTTTTACAAATAAATTTCAAAGATACAAAAACTCAATCGTTGACTATTCTTCTTCTGCGATAAAAGTGGGGTGAAAGAGTGTGGGTAATAAATGTGAAACAGATATCCACATCACGTGAGCAGGAAGTGTTTGTCGAAATGACCAGGAAAGGTGACCAATCCCGATTGAAGGAAAGATGTATAGATTGCGAAACGGGCGCATGATTAGTTCAAGTTAACAAATTATTTAAAAGTATGATGAAGATGAAATAATTACGTATTTATATATAATTATAATAATAACTATTCTGTAAAATATACAGAGAGAATATAACGTATTTTAAAGAGCAAAATCACTTGATTCTCGAAACCAAATCCTAAAAAAATGCAATAAACTAAAAAAGATAAACTATTTAAACGAGTGCCTTCTTTTAAAAAATTATATTTATCTGTTTTTTTAAGTGTTGAAAAAACAAGAGAGCAATGTATTGGAATAAAAATATGGTAAATACTTGCAAATTTACAAAGTGGTAATACTAATTAAGAAAGAAACTAAAGGTAACCAACTACGTTAAAAAGGAAGAATGGAAGTGAAAAAAGTTACTTTTTTAGAAATATACCAAGGTCAACAGCATTTCAGTAATTATTCAGAAAGTTTATTTAGATTTTCTGTTTCTTTTAATGTGAAACCAGTGTCTAAACCTATGAGTTTAATTATGTTAAGGAAGTAGTTTAGCAATTTAAAGTGTTTAGCCACAGGAGGTTCTTTGTTCATAAAGGAAAACCTGAGATTGTTAAAACGTTCTCTTACAGCTGTGCTGGTTTTCCCCCGCATACTGGAGGTTATATTTATCATATTGTTAGTTTTGCCAGTTTATTTGATCACGATGTTATAGTTATAACCTCTTATTATCATAGGTTTCTTTGCGAATCAACGTAAATTTCATAGTTTTTACTGTCAGAGCAGATTTTCTTGAATTTGAGGGCTTGGCTAAAAGTAATATTACGTTTTGTAATTAGATGGCGAATATTTTTAAAGTGCAAGTATTGTGGTCTATAGGCCAGCTTCTAGTACAGATCAGTTTATAGACCACCATCTTTCACTTTAAGAGTTACATCTAAAAATAAAAACTGATCTAAGTGGCAGATTAATCTAAAGTGAATTTAATAAAGTTATGGAAGGAGTTTCCTTGTCTCAAAATTCTTGATTTCTCTGTATAACTTTATAATAGTTTAGTTTCTAAGCCTCCCATAAAACTATCGGCACAGTTTGGTGCCATGGTACCTATTACCGTGCCTTTTGTCTGAATAAAGAAGTCATTATTGAATTCAAAACCGTTAAGAGTAAGGACAAACCTATCTACGTCTATCTGTTGGCTTTTTCAGGTTTCTACTGGGCAGATTTAAGAGCTTTCTAACTTCTATCATGTGGGATCTTTGTGTAAAGAGAAGATACTTAATAATGTATAGAAGAGTCTTTGAAAGGAATCTTTGTGTAAAGGGAAGATACTTAATAATGTATAGAAGAGTCTTTGAAAGGGATCTTTGTGTAAAGAGAAGATACTTAATAATGTATAGATAAGTCTTTGAAAGTAAAAAGTCCTTTACTCTTAATGTTACATATCAAGTTCGAAAAATATGTCGTGTCTTTAATGTAAGATGGTAGACATAGAGTTGCGTCTTTGATGTGTTGGTAGACGTAGCCACACTAGCAGTAGAAATAAGAGGGCGATTCCTATTGTTATGTTTGGTAGCACTTAAAAGTGACTTGGAATATGGTGTTTAAGTAAAAGGAATTTTAGAGCTTTGTGAGAGATGTGTTGGCTTTTCTTCCTCAATAGTTTTAACTAACGGGGGAGTAGTGTAGACATATACTTTTTATAGCAGTTAGTATCATTAAGTTGTCGGTGAGCTTTGTTGATATAATCAGTTTTGTTAAGGATGGTAGCACAACTTATGTCAGTTGGTTTAATAACAAAGTCTTTGTCATGTTTTAGTGAAGTTAGAGAGACACGTTCATTGTAGGAGAGATTATTATGTACTTTAGAATGGGAGTTAATGGTTCAAATCACTCCATTCTCAATGGTAGTATCAAAGCTTTCTAAATGTGGTTATCTATGGATTAAATGGGGTGGCCAGGACGATTTTCTTTGAACTGTGAGACGTGAGTGTTAATACTACTGGATTTGTTGTGAAAAATTCATGAAGCCTTAGTCTGCGAGCAAATTATTGTATCGGAAATAATTTCGAAACTGTTTAGATTGTTAGGGGTAAGGAAGAAATTGAGACTTTTACTAAGAAGGTTAATTTCAGCTACAGATGATGTTTTGTAGAAGAGGTTGACGATATTGAAAGTGTTTTCGTATTGCGGTTGCTTGGACTGAATAGAGTGGACTAAGAACAAATTGGTTGTCATGAGATAGCTCAATTTTCGATTGACTGTGAGGATTTGCCTCTACTTTGAAAACAAGTATCGAAGTTTTGGTTTTTAGAACTTTTCTTACTTTGATGTTGAAAGGAAAGCTGACACAGTGTTTGGTTTGATTTTTTTTACTTGTTACTTTTTTAATTTTGTTGATGAAGACAACAAGAAAGCTTCTTGTTGTTCAATAGGAAAAACTGTGTGTTCAGAATTTATAACGGCAATGATCTTGTCAAGATCGGTCATAGTTGCTTTGGAGAAGTCGTGTGTGAGTTTTATAGGTTTAGTTGAGATAGAGTGGAGATTTTGCTTTCATTGTCAACAAGCCTGATTGTAGTAGGCTGCTGTAGTAATGGCTAGTTTTAAGCTTATAGTGTTAGGTATGATCTGACTCTGTAATAATCTGAAACGATTCAGTATAATGGACATTTTACATAAAGTCTTCTAGGAAGTTTGAAAACCTGTTTGGTATTAATTATAAGGAACTTGTGTATTTGTTTGAAGTTAAGCACAAAGCTACACAATAGGTTATCTGTGCTCTGCCCACCACGGGTATCGAAACCCGGTTTCTAGCGTTCTAAGTCCATAGACATACTGCTGTGCCACTGGGGGGGGGGAGTCGTTTGTGTTGTGTGGAAGTTTCTGCGAGAGTGTTAGTGGAACAAAAGGTAGATATAGTATCTGATATTTAAGAAGAGGTGTGGCATGGAAGTATAAGTTTTTTGGGTTGGAGAGTACCGGAAAAAATATTATTCTAAGTTAAGAATTGGTAACAACAGAGGTAGAGGAGGGCCTAGAAGTAAGTTATACAAGTTAGTGGATAAAACTCAATTCAAACATGCTAAAATCACACGATATTTGTAGTTTGAAATAAAAACCGAAGACTTGCCAGTTCCAGTAGTAGACAAGGACTTCCTAAAAGACATCAAGAACCTTAAGGTATTTTATACTGATGACCCGCAGGACAGACTCTTTCGATCTCATGGTGAGTGAAAATAGAAAACGTTTAATAAACAGAATCCAGCCCCTTAAATTTAATGTTAACAACTCAATAACAGATCTAATAATCCAACCATTTTATGTTGTTATAATATAATAAACTGGGCATTAATTAGTACTAAGCGAATGAGGTACGGTGTGAACGTTTTAGGTTAACATGAAAAGCAGTCCTTTTCAAGACTATGTATTTGTAAGATGGTATATAAATACTTATGTATGTAAACCAAGAAGTCAAGCTGTGCTGTATCACCATTAGATAATGTGATGCTGACGATACATGTCTGGAATTTAAATGTTTGAATATGTGCATTGTAATTTTAGGCTTGTGCCTTTGAAGAGTGTAGAGAGAATAATTTTTATATCAGTCAAGAAAAATAGTTTCTAACCTTTTCCACTCCATAAAAATTCAGTTTGTGTGACTTAAAGAAAAGCTACATTGGACTATCTGCTGCGTCCACCATAGAGAATCGAACCCCGGATGTTAGCGCTCTAAGTGTGCAGACTTATCACTGTCCCACGAGGACAAAATTTCAGTAGCTGAGATTATTGGTGTCAATACAATTCTATCGCTGAGATCAAGTTTTAGATTATATGTAAAGTTGACCTTGTTTGTCTCTTTTATAGGTCATACTATGCGGGAAGTTTTTCTGCTAAGACAAGGCAGTTTTAATAGAATTCCTGACCTTGTGGTTTGGCCAAGTAAGTTTATCACATAAGTTGATTTCACAGGCAATAGACGAATAAGTTTTAGTCAAGTAACAAAATAAGCAACGCGTGCTGGGAAAATAAAACTACGTTTTTAACTGCAGTAAACTAAGATATTTGCAGTGATCATACACTTTCACTACGGAGGGGTGCATCACTGCACTTTCCTTTAGCTATTTTAATCAGAACTGAATAATTAAATAGAAGCATTTATATTTACCCAAATTTTCCTTGTAAAGTATATTAGTATAATGTTTCATGTGTATTTTATAAATCAAATATGCAGTTAACTGTTTATAATATAGTAATGTTTTCAGTTTTGGATATCATTACTTATAACTAAACATAAGTATATAAGAATATCAATTAATGAGCCTGCAGAAAGAAAGAGTGGCCTTCGCGCACCCAAAAAAATATACTGATTAAATTTTCAAACTTATAATTTAGACTGATATTCCATATGAGGCTAAAGTGACTAATAATGACTGAGAATGTCGTGCAATACTTAAAACTTTGAAGATTTCTTGTTTCCTTTGAATTGTCAATACAATCTTGGCGAAAATGCTTGCCTACTGTTCTATACTGATGTTATTGTTAACATGCATGGAGTAGTTATTGAATAAATGCTCGAGTAGTGACATAGAAGGTAGCGTATGATCGAACAAACATGTACGAGTTGTTATTCTGGTCTGTATAAGTTGTATTGGGCATTTGTTCGTCAAAACATGCATACAGACCTGTTTTGTATAAAAGGGTGTGCTTTTGATATAATATTTTTTGAAACAGATCAAAGCTTTGCTCAAACAACTTCTCTGTACTGGAGTAGAGTAGTGCCTCGTCACGTACCAGAAGTTATAGGGCGTCAAATTGTTCGACTGTCCAAAAATAAGATGAATCAAACGAACATTACCAGAACAGTAAGGTGCCCTCAGTGTACTCTATCCAGAATCCGGAAACGTCATCGGATACAGGAAACGTTGTTCCAGGAAAGTCTACTGGTAGATGCTGAGAAACTATTGCCCGAGGTGACCGTGTTTTAATCAGGTTAACACTTCAAGGTCGAAAGAAGTCTTGCAATCCCTTCGGACAGGAATGACATGAATATTCATTGCAGGGTATCCAGAAGAACAATGAATAGGAGGGTGAGCAAATAAAGTTATTTTGCGAGAAGGGCTATCTGCAAACCGATATTAACTACAATTAACCACCGTCACTGTGTTATTTGGGCAAGACAGCATGCCAACTAACAGTTAGGACACTGACGACATGTCATATTTTCAGATGATTCCTGTTTCCGGCTTGTTAAAGCTGATGATGGGATTCGTGTTCATTGTTTGCCTTACTAACAGATGAAGAAAGACTGTCTTTCCTACAGGAAACATATAGGAGCTGGTGCAGTACATGTTTAGGCAGCTATTCATCATAGTTGAAAACTTCATATTCTCCAGGGAAACGTTAATGGCGCTTCCTACAGGCATCACATGGAGGCGATATTTCTGTCATATGCTAGGTCAAGGTTTGGCAATAACTTTATGTTCCAGAATGACAATGCCACTGCCCACAGTGCACGTATTGTAGACGATTATCTTGAGCAGGAGGACATTACAAGATTGTCATGGCCTGCAAAGTTACCAGATTGTAATCCCATTGAGAACTGAGCCGGAAAATTGCTAACCACAATCCTAAACCAACTACCGTAGCTAAGTTTCAGCGCCTTTTACTGACAAGTTGAGATGAAATCAAGGTGTATTACATCAATAACCTCATCGACAGCATGCCACATCACCTTGCGGAGGTTATTAGAGTACGAGAAAGACAAACCAAGTACTGAATGTTTAATATGAACTGATATATGGTTACGGACACTATTTATAGAATTTTGATGTTATATTTTGTCATTATATATGTTTTAGTAAGGTTTTGTTGTGATAGGTGAATTGCTGAATTACACATCTTCTACAGGTGTCTGATAAAATTGTTTGCTGTTCTAATAAATCGTTCATGATGTCCATAAAACCTGTCTCATTATACAAATTACATAAATATATGTTTAATTTCACATTTATTTTTGTGTTTTACAACGCTAAGTGTATTTGTATTGTATCTTAGTAATAATGATCTTATTTGTTACAAAATATGCAAACATTTTCGCCTAGACTGTATATATGGGTATATACCGATAAATTTGACATTTGGAAATGAAATAACTACTGTTGCAACTATGCGGTATTAAGCTGTTAATTTTGAAACTAATTTATAGTTAACTAATATAATAGAATTATACATAAAACGAAATAAATTTATAAGTATACTTACAGAATTCAGATAGTGAACAATTAAGCTCAATATTTACGATTGCAGACCTTGATTAATTCAAATTTGGTATCTCGAAGTGACCAATTACGATACTGAAAAGTTTTATAAATTTTGTTACAGTGACGTAAGTCATTCATTAACTTTATGGCGAACGCATGGTCTTTTCCTAAGAAACGATTTTGGCTTTTAAGCTGTACAAGTGAGCTATAGTTTATGGGATAAGTAAATTATGCCATAAGAAATTATTAACTGATTAGTTGTTGAACTCAATAATGGCAACATCCCGAAAATTTTACAATATATTTTTTTATCTATTGAAAAAGAAATCTAGCTAACCCTAATGAAAACAAATTGCATATAGGATTCTTAATTACTGGTTTCCTTGGTAGAAAACTATATTGGTTTTGAAAAGCTTTTCTTAAATTGGGCAATTATCCGTTTTTTCCCCTATATAATCGATGTACGATAGCATTACGAGAAATCAAACGTTTCGTCTTAAAAATTAATTAATCTCTCTGAAAGCCCTTAATTCAAACTAACGAAATTAATCGTAAAAATAGAGTCAATCTATATATTGCAGAATATAAACGAAACTGAATATTAAGATTTAGTTTCAAGATTAGTGTCAAAGACACTATACAAGTCAAACCTCGACATATAAATCTGTTAATATTTTAAAATTAAAAATCACTTTTGACAAAGATATTTTTTCACATTCCTTTTAAAGAGCTCGTTGTGTATTTCGGGCCATATTTTATAACTTACTTTGGCCATTTCTATCTTATATTTATGTTAAAAGTCTTAAAAATTGTTTGACCAGTTGCGCCCATTGTTAAGAAGAACCTTTATGCCTCCATTTTCATTAATCAGCTAACTCAGAATAACCAGATAATGAATCATTATTTCGTTTGTATAAATTTATAACCGTGGGAAAAGGGAAGTTAAAAATTACTTTACTTATTACATCGCATTCATATTTATTTGTTTGTTTTTCAGTTTAGTTCCACTGAATTATATAATAAACTGTTTCTTGTATACCACTAAGAAAGCCATTTTTCATCAACAGCTTCTCATAATGATGTGATTGAAATTGTTAAAGCAGCGAACAAACACAACATTGTCATTATACCATTTGGAGGTAAGTAGAATTGCATTTTCTTGCTTAAAACATAAATTGAATCAAATTTTAATTAAGATACATTGTTACAGATGATTATTAAGCGTAATCTGTTGTTGCTGAAATTAAGAGAGTGAACCAGAAAAAAATTGCTTTGTACTATTGGCAAAACTTATATACGGTACAGTATTGCAAAGCAGTATGTTAAATACAAAAGCACTTTTACAAGGTCCTCAAATCTTTAGTTTCCTGTATTATTGTATTATACAATACATTTTTTCCGCTAGGTGGCACTAGTGTTTCAGGAGCATTGGAGTGTCCAGTGGACGAAAAAAGAATGATTGTTTCCATGGATACTACTGAAATGGTAACACCCATAACAGACGTAATTGTATCTATACGTAAATTTTTGTTTGATTTTTTGCGAAAAATCTCCACAAAAAGCAATAATTTAACTTTAAATTTTCATTTAGGCTTATAGCTTTCATAGAATATAAACAAATAAAAACTTTCGAAAGAGTCGTAAGATGGTGCCCCTAAAACTGTAAATCGAGAGCTTTCAGGATGGAGCGAACCAGTTTAGTTGAAAAGTGTCATTACCATCTAAAAAGCCGTCTTAAACAATAACCTAAACTCATATTTTAAAAACTTTAAAATCTTAACCTCCATATGAAGTCAAAATGTTTTTAGGAGTCTCATGATTGGATCCATGGATTTGTTTTAAAAATGCCATGAAGCTACGGGATCGCACAGAATAAGTGGTTACGATTAGATTTTCGATATTTCTATGTAGGGATGCTCTAACAGAGGTTTTGTGGAGACTCTCGAAATGGTTGCAAGGATGTACTTGAAAATAGCAACACATAAATGACGATTCAAAATCCTTTTTTTTTTGCATAGTTGTTGTTTCCCCTGAATCTTGACAAATAACTTCCTACACTCGTTATTTATCAGTTTTCTTATGTAAAAACAGTTTTGACAAAATAAGTACAAACCTCCATCTGTCTATTACCGATATCATATTTAAAACAATATCCACTTCGCTAGCCCGGCATGGCCAGGTGGTTAGGGCGCTCGACTCACAATATGAGGGTCGCGGATTCGAATCCCTGTTGCACCAAATATGCTCGTCGTGAGGACGTTATATAATGTGACGGTCAATCCCACTATTTGTTGGTAAAAGAGTAGCCCAAGAGTTAGCGGTGGATGGTGATGACTAGCTGCCTTCCCTCTAGTCTTACACTGCTAGATTAGGGACGGCTAGCGCAGATAGCCCTTGTGTAGCTTTGCGCGAAATTCATAACAAACCAGATAATTTAAAGCCTTTCCTTCAATTCCTACTGTAATTTTATCGCTAGCATTGTCTTTAATGAATTAAAGAACACTGGTGTACGTGGAAACCAGTATAGACGTAACTAACTTCTGCACACGTAGTTTTCTTCGTTTGGCCAATTTCAGTTCCTATGAAATTATTATTAATCACAATGTACGATATAGCAACGAAAAAAATATTATTTAACAACCACTTTGCACTTTGACGTTTCGATGTCACATCATAGGTGGCTATTGATATTCATATTCTTATATTCGCTTTTAAGTAAAAGCTTCGTTCTTAAACTATTGATATACTAAGATTTTCTCATACTTCATTGCAATTTATCTGGAATAGTTTATCCTTTATATGTTAGTCCTAACAAACCATGTTGTTAAGTTGAGTTGTAGTTACCAGCTGAAAATGTATCTAAATATACATATTCACTTGATTATAAATAATAATAATAATTAAAAATATTGTAGCAAGTACAAACTACTTTTAAATATGTTTACTGCGAAATATTGTTTTGTTCATTTTTGACAATTTTTGGTTTATGATTCAGAACAAAATATTATGGGTCGATAAGAAGAACCACACAGCCCACATTGAAGCTGGAATATTGGGTAAAGACTTAGAATGTAAGGTAAGTAATGTGAAAATGTGCTTTATATGATTGTGTTTTCTCAAAAATCAAAATGAAACGAGCTTCTTGACCTACTATATGTCCTAATATTCACAAGTATTTTGTTAACATTCTTTTGTATTTTTTCTCGACTTCGTATTTTATCTTCGTGTAACATGAAACTTGTTTATTGTCGGATACGTAGAATAATATCTATGGTTACAATGTTCAACCAGGTTATTCTGGTACCATCAGATACAACAACTACAAATTCTTAAGTCTTACATATTACAATGTTTCATCAGGTTAACCTGGTACCATCAGATACAAAAA